TTTGGTTTAGGAAATAATACCAAGGGTTTTAAAACATGATGATATGTATAGTACTATGTTTAGAGTGTTTATGAAGAAGTATTTATTCAAAGCTCCTGTTTCCTGGTTTTATGCTGCATAGTAACTTGTTTTTTGAAACCATTGAGAAATTAATGACATAGGTAATTTATCACTCTATAATACATACATGTATTGATACATTGCAAAAATAGTGCAGGTTAATTGGTTATCCAATAGTTAATAGCTTTTACTTCTTAACTTTTCTACAAATCTTTCTATCTAGAGATTTACTGTGTAAATATAAATCTCAAAGCTTCTCAAGAACAGCTCTAAACAAGTAAACTTATAACATCTATGTGAATTCATATTATCCTTAACAAGTCACTTTAAGCTATATTAGAGTTTTAAAACTAACTTCTTTCTTGATATGAAAAATATGTCAGCTCCACACATTTTACCATTTATCAAAAGAAAATCAAAAAAATTCATCATTTTGTGAAAATAATGAGAATCTTTTTGACAGAGAAATAGAATTGATTGTGTTTGTATGAAATACTATTGTGAATACAAGGCAAGCTAAAAGATCTAATAACTTGAATTGTTAAGTAAAACAAACATCTATAGACACAGATACTGATAATTATTAACATGAGAAGCACTTATATTCAAGCTGAAAATGCAAGATTTCACATAACATAGCTATTCAAATCTGAAACATGATGCTCTGGTTTTGAATCTATGTCCTAGACTGAGAAGAGTCAGACACAGAAGTAATACAGTCATTTTGACTCAAAATAATCATCACTAGCTACATCTCATAGCTTCTTCTGCTGTTTTAATCTTTGTGTGGGAATGTAGGTTCTGCTTAAATGTTGTTGTCCTAAGTGACTATCAATTCCTTTTGATGCATAACTGCGGCTACTAGATTACCTGCTACATTTCCCCATTCAAATATCTATCGCAGAAATCCATTTACAGATCAGAAATTCTCAGTTCCGCTTACATACATGGCTGGCCCGACATTACTTTGTTGTTGTATTATATACCTACATCAGCGTATCAGCATATTATTTTAGTTGATACTACGGCTACCCTAAACACGTGCCTCTCCATATATATGTTGTAAAATGTCAGTTAGCAGGTACAATGTGAGATTTATGATAGATTTTAAAATAAAACATTGCAAAATAATCTGTAATAAAAATTAAGTCTTAAGCTATGGTCAGCTGTGATCAAGTTGAATTCTTTCCCAAGATAGAGAATATAGAATTTATTAGAAAGTGCTGTTGTGATCAAGCAATATTCTACAAAAAAACTTACTGTTAACATCAGAAAAATGATCTCCAGTAACTATTTTGTAAGAGTTTTTTTTTCTCGAGTTACTAATATAATTCTCAAGCAAGTAAACAAACAATCAATTAAAAATATTTCAATTAAAATAACTTAAATAGCAAAAATTTGCTAGTTCAATTAGTTTTAAATTTCATTAAATAATAATTACTTTCTTAGCTAATGTTTAGTAAGAATGTCATTAATTATCTTTTATTTACAGTGTTTTCATTTTTATCTCTTATTTTGTTGGTAAGAATCTAATATTAAATTTAATTAAATATCATATAAAGCTTCAATAGTCACTACTATTTCCAAAAATATAAATATAATAAAGTCAAATATGAGAATAAAAAAATTATTCAAAAATAATTCGAGAATTTAAAAATATAATTACAGAGTATAAAATTTTAAAATAAATATTATTTACAACTTTAATAAACTTTACAATAAAAGCTTTATATTAATATTACAATTATTATTATTAAATATTATAATTGAGAAAAACTTCTATAATTTAAATATTAAAAAATAAATAACTATAATTATAATTAAAATAGTAAGTATATTAGATTAAATCTTATCTTTATATTATTTTTAAAGGTTAAAAATTTTAAAATATTAATTTTCTAAATTATAAAATAACTAAATATTCTATATTAAAAAAGTAAATAAACTTGAGATTAAATAATTTATTAAAATATTTATATCAACTATTATTTTTATAATATTAATAGTTATTTATATAAAATATATTCAAATCTATATTGGAAATACAATTATTTTATTTATATTAATATATATATCTTATTCTTTAATATTTTTAATATCAATATTTTTATAGTTTTAAAGTATATACATAATAACTTAGTTAAGCAATGCATATAATTTAAATTTAATATACTTAAAAATTTGAATTCTTAAACATAAATTCTACTATATACATAAAATATATAATTTAAATTATTCAAAATGCTTTTATTACTACTAATATAAATGTCTCTTAATTCAGATTAAATTATTTAAAGATCTAAGATTTAACTTAAAATTTTATCTTTTAGTCAACAGATCTAGTAATTATTAATTAATGTTTTAAATTTTTTAAATATTTAAAGATCTCTTTAATTAAGCTGACAGATAAAAAATTAAATTTTTTATAAAATAAAAACTTGAAAACTTTACAATTTAAAAATAAGTTTAAATTAAATTAATAAATCTAAAAGTATTTAAAAATTCTTATCAATTTATCTGACAAATAAATATGATTAAAAATCTGATAAGATAAAAACTTAAAAGTTTTTCTTATAGTTTAAAAATATATTAAATTAATTATTAAAATTTATAAATATTAAAAAATTCTTACTAATTAATCTGATAAATATATACAATTAAGAGTTTAATATAATAAAATCTTATAAATTTTTCTTATAATTTAAAAAACTCTAGATTAAAGTATTAAAAATTATATAAATATTTAAAAATTTTCATCAATTAACTTAATAAGATTAAAAATTTAATAAAATAAAAACTTAAGCTTTTTAAATCTAAGAAGTTTAAATTAAATTATCAAAATCTACAAGTTTTTAAAAATTCTTATCAATTAACTTAGCAAATATATGATTAAAAATTTAATTAAATGAAACTTAAAATTTCTTATAGTTCAAAAAATTTAAACTATATTATCAAAATCTACAAGTATTTAGGAATTCACATCAATTAATCCGGTAAATAAATAAGATTAAAAATTTAGTAAAATAAAACTTAAGCTTATTAAATTCTTAAAAATTCTTATCAATTAACTTGGTAAATGAATAAGATTAAAAATTTATTAAGATAAAAGCTTAAGATCTCTTCTTATAATCTCAAAAAGTCTAAATTAAATTATATAATTTGTAGGTATTTAGAAATTCTCATTAATTAATCTGACATTGAAATAAAATTAAAATTCAAATAAGATCTCATTTTAAAGTTTAAAAAAAATCTAGATTAGATTTTAAAATCTTCAAGTTTGAAAGCAATCAACATTTATCAATTTGAAGTAGTATCAAAATATTTTTACTATGAATCACAAAGAGAAGTAAAAGCATATGAAATCTAATCACTGAATTCAATGTGAAGAGGAATTAACAAGGAATGAAACTTCTATCTCATCTGCCTAAAATTACTGAATAGTCTTTTATTCAATCCTCTCCACCCTTATCAGCTGAGCGTAGGTCATATGCACGAGCACTGCAGAGGTGCAGCAATTGTAATACAGTTAAAGCATGCAAGAAAAAGATATCCTGAGCCTAGTTTTTTTTAATTAAAATAGTGATAGTTGAGTTTTAACTCCAGGATGCCCAAGAAGCAACCCAGTCTGATCAGATACAGGGTGGAATATCGTTAGTTAATGATATCTTACAATCTAAATCCTATCTCAAGGAAACTAAACAATCATTTTGCCACACAACGTCCACTGATGATGTTCTGACCCAGGCACTCTAAACCGTCTTCTTGATATGCCCTGTTTGGCAGAAGCTGATGGTATAATAATACTACCAGTTATGATTCCAAAAGGAATCATGACTACATTCCCTTGCTCCTCTGTTCCCACCCTGCCACCATACTCGTGCAAACCTGACATCGGCGACAACAAAGACGGTATTTTTCTGATAGTTTTGTTCTGACATTGTTTGCCGAGGCTGCAAATCTGGGTCCCTGATTTCGTCATGGCTCAATGAAAATACCTCGAAGACTGCAATTGTCGTTAGCAGGAGCCGCGGATTTTCGTCGACTTCTACTAATTTCTATTTGATCCCAAATTTTTCTCACATTGACAGATACTCCGGGAGGCCAAGGGATGATGGGTTAAAGGGAAGGCTCAAAAGCTCCACTCCCTTCCAGTCGAACCGTCCTTACAGCGGGGGATATAAATGATGGAAAAGTCCAGTCTTAATATTGCTGCATGAAAGATGGCTGACAAAAGTGCAGCGCCGACATTTCTCCGCTACGCGCACTGGTCGCGGCTATCCCACTTCCGCATTCCTCTGCAGCATGCTTCCATTTCTCTTTGGTAGTTGTAGGCTTAACTCTTGTAACCACGCTTGCTCTGGCCTTCGTGCTTTGGGAATAGAGGGCACGTGATTTACATGTGATAAACCAACGGTAACTATTGAAAGATGGACTACTTCTACTAAGAATCCCCTATCTTCAACTCTGATAAAAGACACTCAAATAACTCGAATAACTGCTTCCTATTTGATCAACTTCTTGATGATTATGATGATGGCTCCAGTGAGCATGTCTGGAAATTCAAACGAGCAGATACACATGCATCTAAAGAATAGCCAGTCACAACTTCAGAGGTTTCTATCATTGAGGGTGATATTGATGATCTTAATTGCGCTGGAGGATGATTCCCATTTGAAAATCTTGCTTCCTTAACTGATGACGCACTGCCTCAGACCAAACCAGATCACTTCTACGGTGCGTGTCCTGAACAGCTTGATTGCCAAGTCCGCAAAGAGGTTAGCAACCATACCATACCATCAATACAGGATCCACTGGCAACAAATTTCTTTCTAGAAGCAAAAGGCCCCTGATGAATACTTGGCGGCCGTTACACAACAGGTTTGTTATGGTGGTGCTCTAGGAGCCCGAGAGATTGCCATCCCTTCGGCCATACCAAAAAGATGAATCAATCTATAACAACAACGCCTATACTCTTACATCAACTTATCATTGCGGTCAACTCAAACTATACACTATTCATCTCAGCCCAGGCTGCTGTCCTGAGTATATATTATGACTCAGCTGAATACTTGGGGCGTGACTGGTAACTTGGAAACTTTTCGGCAAGGAGCATCCACCTACCGAAATACTCGAGATTGGGCAAAGGGAACGAGGGATTAATTTATTAGCGTGGCAGATGAAAGATTCTCAGAGGCCGAGTCCCAATGCAATCAATTCTGTATCTCAGCACAGGACGAGCTCCGGCATAGCTTTACGTTAGATGACTCCGATGTTTCAACTGATGAAACCAAGGGTGCGCAATGGAGCTTTGTTGCTCCAAACAAAGACGTGGAAGATGAGACCTAGATTCTGCCCAAAGTTTCAGAGATTAACTGGAACTACCAATGCGGTAGCCATATTATTGACGAAGTAATGTGGATTTCTATTGCATAACTCCTGGGATCAAATCAACGGATAGCCCTAGCAAGCCAACTTCCAACTCAAGAATCCCAACCCAATTGCCTGTGATATCCCAACACAAAATTTGTCTTAAAGAATTACATTTTGGTCATTTCTAAATTACTGTGCGACAGATGTTTTTCTCGAGCAGGCACGGGTCGCTAAGGAGCGGCTGATGGCTGGTGTATCCAGAATATACTGATCCATGGGTATGGCTTGGGAATGGTATTTGGTAAAGGATTCCCGTGTGTTCCAGTGATATCTGAGTTATGCCTATAAAAATCTCAAGTTTCGCAAGACTTTAAACCCGATCGTTACGTCAGGTTCATATGAAACATGACTAGAAAGCTGGAAGGTACCAATGGTTTACCTAGTTTGAGCTGCGGCAAGGGCTTGAAGAGATTGTTCCGCAAGAGCTGTGTTCAAATATGCGGAGTAGTAGCTTTCAATAACGAACAAGAAGAGCACCGCTTTGAAATGAAATGAAAAAGAGTAATTGATAGTAGTGTCTTTGATAAAGCAGAGAGGATTTCAGTGATATTTGGCAATGATTGACTTTATGAGTTGGAAAAAAACAAGATTTCAGCGGTATGATGTGGAGATCGTCATGAAAAGGGGTAAGGTTTTCGTGAAGTCCTTCTGGACAGTGACTCTCTCTTCAGCTGATTATGTTATGAAGCAGCTTGCAAAATCAGCTTGACAATCTGAGTGTCGACTATTTTCTCTAAAACCATCATGCCAAAATAAGCTAGGAGGAATATGGTTAAGCGGTGGAATGGCATAATTAACGACCTCCGTGACACATCAGGTATGTATGATATTTGGCAATAATGAGGACTAGGCATCTCGAAATCGGGGCCCAGAACTGATCCAAGTGCGCAGGCGCGCCAGGGAGGGCCGGGGGGACCAACCTCGCCGAGAATCAAGGATCCCTCCAAGCCACCGCCGTAAGCGAGGTGCTCTAGCGACACAGGGGTCCCAGAGATGTGGCGCCAGATCTGTGGCTGAGATTTTGTACATATTATGCATCTGCATACGCTGGGGGCCCAAATAGAGCTTGAGGATTGATTGAAGATCTTGCATACGAATCGCAGCATGCGGAGGTCAGCTTGCCATTGCAGTTTTTGTCTCAGTTCTGCCTATTGAACTATTGCATTTAGAGCGAATTCTTTCAGGCGATATTAGGGGAGCGATTTGTTCATCTGAAAAATTAGAATAAACCTCAAGTCCTGACGGAGACTGGACAGATAGTTAGCTGACTCACCTCGCTGATTGCAAATCCTTCTAACACGTGTTCTCCAAATCCACTTCTATTTGCCAAGATCTCAAACCCAGCTCATCATGTCGTTAAGCGTTGAGTAAATAATATGGAGAGCGGGTTCTGGCCGGCACCTCAATCGGGTTACGAAAATTTACCAAGGGCCTTCCTGCCCCCCCCCCAATTTTTGCAAACAATAGGCCCTACGCACGTGCAATGTCTGTGTATTTAGGGGGAGTGCTGGCGGGGGGTGATATGGATCAACAGCGGACATGCAGCTGCAAAAATACGTACACATCAAGCGTGCTCAGATGGCAGCGTTCCACCGACATCTTGCATGTAACCCAGGCCAGAAGTTGTGACTCGTGCCGAAATTTTCCAGTCATTTTACCTCGGCTAACGTCCGTGCCCTCAACGGGCTGAGCATAACCACCTGCATATCTAGCGCATGAAAATTTTCATTCTGCCTGTTTTATCCCGGCAAAATACAAGATTCTCACATTAGCTGCTCCTACTACGGTAGCGCTGTGCCAATGAGAGTGTGACATTCAGCTGTGTGTTTGTTCTGGAAATAAAAAGAAGCTGCAAGGGCGCGGGTTCCGAAGGAGGCTACGAGCTGGTGGATTTTTCCTCTTTGGGTTCAATCCCGTTTTTGAACAAGTTTTCTCCGATTGACTTTCAGCCAATGCGGGGTTGACCTATTTTTATATCCTCCCCTTAGTGGACAACTCTAATACCATACCTTAAAATTTCTTCTTCTTTGCAAAGCAAAGAACTGGCTTGGCATTTTCTCAACATCAATCGATCGATCAAAATTCATCATCGTTTAGGGGGAGTAAAGAAGACACATGGTGTGCACTCTCCCAACATTACCCCGGGATTTCTTCGTATTTACCTACGATAACTGTCTGCAACGTATGTGCTCCGTACAGTAGTACACCATATCATCATCCCTTGTATTTTGACTTTTTTTTTTTTTTTTTTTTTTTTTGCCTGCGCCTCATTCTTCCCAGTATTCCCCCGGAACGACACCAGGGAGCCCACCATATCGAACCTATCCTAACTACTTCCTTACCTTGGTTTCTTGAATGGCGTACTAGGTAGCAAGGAGTGGAAAATTTTCTAGCTTGTGTACTCAAATAATCATCAAGGGCAGATCTGGTTTGTCATTTCATGAGCAAACCGGAACAAGGAAATATGAGGGAGGCTTGATATCTATATTGCATATGTGCACATATGTGTTCATGCATGTAACTCCCATGCGATATACGATGCCTTTATTCCTGAGTGAGGATGGTTTAATTTTTGCCGTCGTCTTGACAACATGAGATATTAGAGAATGAAGAAGAGAACCCCTTGTTTGCCTTGTCTTGTTCAGTCCACTTGCCGTTATCCTCCCAGCTATTGGGTGTGCATGAGATATCCCGCAAAGATGGCTCAGTTCATCCTGGACCGATTACTTGTCTATACAAGTTACAGAACATACCTAGGCAGGTATCTTGTCGCCGGGCATAGGCATCGAACGAATGAGAGAGGGTGGCTTTTAGTGCTCAACAGCTACACACGTTTAGGAATTGGGTGCTTTTTGCCGAACAGCCCCTTCTTGAGAACTTGATTCGATACAGTGAACTAAATGCCCCGGCCCAAAGGGTCGGAGAGGAGAGGTGTGGGGGTAACATGCATCCTGACTGGGTGCGGGCCACTGGGTGGTTGGCTTTGTCATTTTTTTGCCACTTTCGAGTTGCCCTTCCGCACCACTCAACAATTAATATATAAGTCTCTGCGAAAAAGGCACATGTTGAGAGTTGTAAGTAGTGGGTCTTTTTAATGCCGTTGCCTTCCCCACCCTTGGTGAAAATACCCGATGTCTCCCTTTGGGTAATATCAAGACCATCATTTGACTCCAAGGTTGCTGCAATTCCGTTCTCACAGGATCAAAGACCAAGAGAGGAATGAGTGCATCACATTTCAAAAATATGATTCGAAAAGCTCAAGATTACCCACTTGTCAGCTGAGCTTAAATGCCAGTTGATGATGCTTGCGCAATTCCCTGGCTTCTCACAGGTCAGTCAGGTCAGAAATGACGCCGTTCCCCCGAGCTTTCCATCTCCAGTGACAAGCCAATCGCATCACAGAGAACATCGAGCAAGGCGTATCTAGATAGGATCTGCGAGCAGTTACTCATAGCGGTGCTGGCGGGGGAATTCCCGTTGATACCTTGGAGTATCTCGCACCTTGAAGGCCTTTTACCAGTGCCATTTTATTCGGCCTTCGATTTGCGATTTGACGTATGCATGTACCATGAAGTCATTGCATAACATGTTGAAATGCATCGGGAGAACAGATCAGAGTGATTTGCTCCCCGGAGGAACCACAAATGCCGGTGTCAGCTGAGGTGTGTTGACAGAGTATCGATGAATCGTTGAAGACTTTGTCGTTTTTGCCCATTCTACGATGGGAAAGCAGATATGAATCGCATTATTGGCAAATGGAGGTTGTGAAATCCAACGCTAATCCGTGGGAAGACCCAACTTTCGCGTGAGAAACGAAATGTCACGATTTTTTCTCCATATCAATGAACTCAATTTCCCTCAATCTCAGGGTCATTCCCCACACCGACCAAGGCCAGAAGTGATCAATAGTGAGTTGAAGACAAAACCTGGCTCCAGAGACTTCAAATTAGATATTTTTTGACCGTCTACGATTTGGAGAATAGAGTCAACACAAGAGTTAAACGGAACCTGGTCATCTTGATTCTCTATGTGCCCCTTTTCCCAAGATATTATTGAGGTTGATATAATCGCTCTCCGTTATACTCCAATGCCCAGTTTACTGTCCATTCCTCCAGTCAAGCATTGGCTTTACCAACCCATGTCCATACGTTATACGTTATCGCAATAGATATTTATCTTGCGGGCTAAATGTCTCCAGTGAGCCATTGAAGAAAACATCTCATATACCATATGCTATTGCTAGTACACACTCTTGATAAATGGATCTGGGCCCTTGCTATCATATGGCAGCCTTAGCAACTCACGTTTGTGAAAGCGCATTCCTCGCCAACTCCAGGTTACGATGAAAATTTGGATTCATACTAGGGGTACGAAGAGATGATGGCAAGGTTCATAGATTGATATTAATGTTTCAAAAATACAAAATGCCCCGAGGACAGCCTCAAAGTGAACAATAAAGATAGTTACAAACATCGCTTAACTCTTGACACCAACACATTAGGGAATGCGGGGAATGCGGGGAATGCAGATTCAATTGCTTATAAATCCTCTAGGTTCCTTCTTTCCCCCTCTATTGAAATGATCCAGTATATCGTCTGTCATTCTTGCTATACCGGCCAATCGTGGAACAGCCATACCCGGAACCAGAGAATATCACCGTTTCCGTCCTCAGTCTCTACACATGTTACTTGAATGCGGACTTAAAAAGTCTCTGTGGCTGATAGCCGCGACTGTCAAACAAAGAGAGAGCAAAGAACGAGGTTTAAATAACTACACTTTTCTGGTGGTTGTCTTTGTATTAGTAGAAATAGCGCGGCTAGAGAAGCTGAGTTTTGCACCTTTTTTTTTTTCTCTCCTTAACAACTCTCTCAGCTTCAAGTTTCCCGGGCGCTTGTTCTCCATTCTCCTTCTTCCATCGCTTCTCAATTTAATCCATGTTCTGTTGCATACGCATTGCTGCATACATATGTCTCTGTACTCAATAAGCTTTATCTTTCTCAAGAGATAAGTTACCAATTTAACATAACAGAAACAGATAACCACAAATTAAGATGCCAACCAGCTGAATGAAAACAGAATTTTCTCCTGAAATGGAGAAGGAGAAGGGGTGGGGGGGGAAATATACATCAGTCTAGGTAAATTCAGTACTATATGAGATATCTCTGATTAGCCAAACCTTCTTACAGGAATAGTGAATAATGGACAGAAAGTATGAACACTCATGCAGACATGCCGCAGGGTCCAAGGTCCACAGCGTAGAAGACCACTGTTCCCCAAAGCGCCCCCCCCCAAATAACATGAAACAGAAAGCCTGGGACTGTTCAAAATGACCAGGACGATACCACAGAGACCCTCTGTCTCAATTCTGAGCTCATAGGAGCCGGTAGTGACCGTTACCTTCCTTTCTACAGTTCGGGGTGTATTTCCAAGCGTTGTTCTACAATCCTTCTAGCGAGTTCTTGGTCATCTTCCAACCACCAGAAGTTGCTTCTCGGAGGGCTTTTTGTTGCTGGGATTCCACTTCCGGATGCATATGTACGTACGGAGTAACTAGGGGTAACATTAGCTATTATGACGCAAGTATTGCAAAGATTTGATATTTTATGGAGAAGAGCGTATCGTACGGTTCTGGGCGTTGAAGCGGAAGGGTCGAGATCGGCAAACCTTGGGAAGGGCAAGTCTAGATCTCATTGTCGCCAGAGAAACCGATCAAGGTCTAGAGCGTTCCTCCAAACGTGGGGGGTTTTTGCTATTCTTGAAAAACTACCGCAACGGCAAGAACATAGCGCACACAGCACGAGTTAATCTCCCGGTCTACAGGGTGCTACTACCACCATTAATGACCCCCCCCCCCCCCCCTCTAAAACGGCCGCAAATTCGGTGCTAGTTCCTTCTCGTAATCGAGGGTGGATAATTTCTCGCTCAGAAAATTCCACGTGCGCTTGAATTCGTCAACTGAGTGGTTAGTTAGAACAGGAGCAGATTTCACGTTTCTGCCACTTTTTACAAACTGTATTGATTTTGACCATCATATTCATTGCAAAAGTCAGTTTCCATCCTCAGATAGTCGACATCGGATCTCACAGATCCATGGATTGAATGATCTCTCAAAGTCATATTTTTTTCCCTTCAAAGTGATTCCAACCAGAGAATAGACAGGAACACGGAATGAGTATCAAATCTCAATCCGACCAGTCAATACACATAAACCAAAACGCCCAAACCCCTACCTAGCGCTTCTTACGGGTTTCAGTTTCAATGAATCCCAAGCCTCCACGAGAACTATGGGCATTGAAACTTCCCTCTTGGGTCCACAGTTGTATTCCCAGTCGTCCCAGCGCAGCTTCCATCCACCCGGTCATGTTGATCCCCATACGACATCCACCGAAGCAGCCCCGGAGGTTCCCAGTTGTTATTTCATGATGGATGGATGCAACGAGACCATCGTTTGCGGAACCGTAAAGTTTCCAAGCCCGTGTATATCCGAAGGGTATGGCACTATTCAAATCTAGCCCTGCATGTCGGGAGAAGCACCTGGGACTGCCAACCCAGGTCAAATGAAAAGCAGATCACAGGCGTGCTTCTCATCCATCCGAGGGGATTCTTTGAAGTCGTCCATCACCGGTGGGGAAGGGTTCAGTTCCGCTGCTTCAAATCTGAAAATTCTGATGCTCCACGCGAGCTCCTCAGGCGATTTCTGGGCAGTTAGAAAACTTCTCTAGGAATGATACGCAGAGTGTGATTTTCATGCCGGTCTCGCTACAGTTGGCTTAAATCCCAACCATGACAGCTGAATCACCTGTTTGGGATCGAATAATTCGAATCTTTTTCCATGTATTATTTTGCAGCGTCTATGGATAGAGGTTAGGCGATGTCGAGCATCAGGCAAAAACCGTCAATAAAGAAAGCACTTAGGTACCTACCTACCTTAAAGAGAGGTTTGGACTGATATGTATGCGGAAGTGACCCCTGGCAGTGCGCAGAAAGAACGATGGGGTCCCGCCAAGCCAAGGCTATGTATGACTTTGGGGGTCTTGGCGTCCACTGTCTCCAAAGACAACGACTTCCATCGACCAGCAGAGAACCTTGGTCTATTAACAAACATGCATTCGACAACAAAAATGACGGGCTATGGGGCTCGGAGTGGTATAAAAACCTGAAGGTTCGGACTTAAGTATCTATACTCCGATCTCATCTCACAATTACCGCTCCTAATTCCACAGGCGTTGACTGGTCTCGCTATCTAACTTGTCTTTCAAGCACCATGATGACTACCAACGCGCATCTTATTTCGTCTCTTCGCCGTATCTTCAAAAAACAGTGTCCATGATTGGAAAAATATTACAAGTGGAGATAGATAAATTTGAGCAATTGCCAGCGCGGAGATGGGAAAGACACTCCTAATTTTGCGCCTCCGTCCGGAGTTATATCGGATTCCCCCGCCCACAGGTTTAAATCCGGGGTATACCATCCCTATTTCCACAATCGCTTCACGCCACACACACTCCCGTAACGGGTACATTTAAACTGAAAACGGGCATTGCTCTTTCATCCATTTCTACGGCTAACGTTAATCATCCGAGATACGGACTTGGAAGGTCCGTTTTTCAAATCTGCCATGCCCTCATGGCGGATGTATATCATCAAATCACACCCCTTCATGTGCAGGGTTGTCTTATCTTTCAAAGGCCCATCTTATTCTACCTGGTTGAAAGAGACGACGGGTCTGACTTTGTTTTCAACAGGACGCTTTTCGTTGAGTAATACCGATTAACTTACAAATTTTGGGGACGACGAGAGAAGGGCACTAAGAGGGCAAAGGCTTGGATCCCCATCTTGGTACCACCAAGCGAGGTTTATATTATATAGTTAAGAGTTGAACGAAACTTCTAGCTGCAAAACAATGCTTTACCAGGGTTATTATAAGCATTCGCCCTACCTATACCTCAAAATGATATTCTCTGAGGTTCCCCTTTAGGCACATTCTTTCCTGGAATCATTCAACGTCACTTATTCGTGAGCCAACCGCCGTGTTAGATCACAATTTTCTGGCCCACCTAAATTCCATAGAGTTAGCAGACGCAGAATCAATACAATTTTCCCCGGCGTTAAGGATTTTGGGACACTGATTCAGACCCAGGCTTCCTGGGAAATGCTCTGCCCGGGGGGGGGGGGGGGGGGGGGAACTTGATGCACATGCTTATTACCTGCTCCGGGCGATGTCGATGTCGCAGCTAGAATTATTTCCAACACCTAATCTAGGTAAGCTCCGGCAGTGCGCCAGCGCGACTCTTCTCGTTCAAGAAATCCAGCTCTACGTGAGGGAAAATCATCGAATATCCTGGCAACATCAACTCAGTGATCATTCTCGTATCCTGTTTGGCCCTCTGTCCGTACGAAAACAGAACTGCAGAATACAGTCTCAGCTTCTCTGGAATGTCCAACCTATCACGTTCCTTATTGAGAAGAAATAGGGAAGGAAGAAGCGAAATGCAGTGAGGTACCATCTATTCATCCTTTCAAATAACACGCGGCAGCTGAAAAGAGGCTGCGTAAATACAACTGGTTTCAAAAGGACAATCCTACCCAACCACTTCAATGGGCAAAAATTTGGGGAGAAAACTCTGCCTCTTCCATCACACACCTCCATGCCCTAATTTCTATTTTGGCCACTACTTATGCTTATCTACTGAAACGCATTTCAGCAGTATACCGGCATTACATGTGCTGAACTTGAGATATACATAACGACAACTAGGAGAAACGACAGGTGAAAAGGAGAAAGAAAAACAAGTCTAGCATAACGATAAAGCTGGGCAATAGAGGAGACGGGACCGATGGCCTATGCCTCCACTCAAAAATCATATACCACAACCCAGAGCAAAAGATAATTGAAAACAAACGAAATGCTCGAGAAGTATGCTGCTAATTCTCCTTTTTCTAGATCGTTTTCACCGCCGAATGCATGACGCAAAACGAAATTCAACGTCCCAAACGCCAATAATTCAGTAAATCAAATTACAAAAGAAAAGGGAACTCATTGTTTCTCCCTCCTCACCAACCTCCCTAATATCCGTAAACCTGACCGAGACCATCTCGTCTCCTTCTGCCCCCCTGCGCCATCAGCAACAGCAGCATCCCTATCACTACCTCTTCCAAAGGGTTGACTAAGCATCGACTCCCGCATGTTTCCCTTCTTCCGCGAAGACAACGACATTCCACTTAAGAACGTTCGATATTTTGTAGGCTTGATCGGGGTCGGGGACTGGGACTGACTGATCCTTTCAAGCGGCCTAGGGAACGTGACTTCTGAGGACATTGAGGTTAAAGTCAGTGTTGAAACAGCAGCTATTGAGGCGGGTCGGCCTGTCATCGAGCTGTGCGGTAGAGAAGTGGAAAATGTACTGGCGCTGTAGTGGTCTGGGAATGATAGGGAGACAGAAGATCCTCGATAATAGGCATAGCAGCCCATGAAGGGGGTTTGAGAAGTGAGGCTGGGTGATGGCGGAGCGGAGGTGGATGCGGAACCCGGGGTGCTGAGTTGGAGCGCTGCATAGAATCTCACGGGCTTACTAGAGTTTTTCGGGGAAAGGCGGGTGGATGTAGCGGAGGTGTCGAGGTAAGGTAGTGGGAGGCAGCCGGGGATGTACTCATCCTCGTGGTTAGGGCCACTGAGGTTGGGAGACCCCTGGTGCTGGAGCTGTTGAAGGTACGGTTGGTATTGTTGCCTTTTGTCCTCTTGCTGTTCTTCTTGCTGTTCCTCTTCCTGTTGATCTTGCTGATTCTGATTCTGAGTCGGTTGCTGTTCTTCCTGCTGTTCCTCTTGCTGTAACACCTCTTGCTGTTGCTGTTGATCTTGCTGATTCTGATTCTGATTCCGAGTCGGTTGCTGTTCTTCTAAATCGTGCACCATTGACTGCTGCTTTGGCTGATCGGGCAAATCAGGCGTCGGTCGCGGCGATATCATATTGACTTGAATATCTGGTAGTGGGTACGACTGTTGCTGGATCATTTGAGAGCGAAAGGGCAAGTCGTCGTCGCAAATTGCGGCAATTGTTCCCGTTTTCTTCCCCACCTTCTTTTCTCTGTTTATATTTATACCAAGTGGAAATTAACTGATGCAGGTATAGGGCATGCAGGCGAAGGGAGTAAGCACTAGGTAGGGTCTACTGTTTTTACCCAGTAGGTTCCAAGAGACGTAAATAACCAAACAGCAGAAAGATAAGGCTCAGCAACGGTTGACACCAATCAGTTGTTTATGGTCCTTGTGTAGATCGTAGATGAGTTGTTGAGGTCAGAGTATGGAGGTTGCAAATTTCCGTACACCAATGCGACCGCATACAACGTTAGTCGCTACTCAATGCTCTACCAACTCTTACTTTTTGCGCTTTCTAGACAAGTCTGCGTTTGATAGAACCGTTCCTAGAAGCATGAAGATGATACTTTTCCCATGCACTGTCTTTGCTCACCAAAGAATGGGGCTGAAATTGTAATTTCTTTTCCTAGTTCGTTCCTCTCTCCGTGCTTGATACCCCGGTTGAGAAGAGAAATGAACGCGGAACCGGATCCTCCGTATTCTTCTGTTGTTTCAGTTTGTTGATGACGAGTGACATAAATGCCAATTCGGTTGGATCGTGATCAACCAGAGCTGGAACAAAATTTGGCTAGGTGGAACGGTGGTCTTAAAAAAAAAAAAGGGACACCATATTTTTTTACATGCAAAAAAACATATCCCCAACTATATAGCAAATTATCGCGCAAACAAAGGACAGGAACCACAGAGTGACAAAAACTGGCAAGTTGATTGATGAAAGTGGGAAATCCAACTTTCTTTCGACCAAACTGCTTCCACGCATTCCAATGGCATTCATTATTGGTCACAAGGGCCACAAGTCTGTCCAAAATGGGCCCAGACTCATAGCAAGGTATTGATGTTCCATGTTTGCAGAAGAGAAAAAAACTGGGGCCCCCCATTGACGAGTTTTTCCGTGGTTTGTCTGATTGGTTTCTTCAAACAAGCTTGTACATATCTATCCGGAGGGCACTGCGTAAGCTCGAGATGTAGCTATCATAGCAGGCTAGCAAAAGAGTGAAATACTATTTATATCGCCATGGAACAAGCCACAGTTCTGCAGTGCAGATCATCTTCAGGAGAGGGCATCCCTGGCAGGAAATGTCAATTCCAAAATCTCTCCGAAAGCCCGGGTTAAATTCTAAGCTGACAGCGCAAATAATAATAATAGGGGAATCTACACTCTAATAGTAGTACTCTTCAAGGGTTATCGTATCCAAAGTGTGTGGCCATGTTGTCGATGTGGCCCCAAAAGCTCTAATTTAAAAGTTGAAGAAACGGAAAAATGAGAAATGAAGATTCCCAAAACAACTTTTAGACGGAAAAATGGCTGTGCGGATGTCAGCAGCAAGTTTCGATTTGAAAAAACTCCAACCCGAGGCATATCTGAGCGCTTGGATTGTCTGGCTTCGTTGTTTCTTACATCCATCGTATCTACTCGGTTCCTCCGTTTCCGGTGGCTATAGGTAATTGGCAAGAAAATATGAGTTGGCATGAGCAATAACGTCACCACCACTCAAGCATGTATTTGAGGAAATCGTCACGGGTCAGCTCGTCCCTCAAGGATGTTAGCCAGCATCAACGGAGTCGGCGTCAACGGGGAGCTGCAGCATATCGCCGCCAATATTGTATTATCCAAACCACTTCAACTAGATATTAAAAATAGCACATTCTATGCAGAGCGACACTACCCAATTGGGTGAATTTATAGGATACCAACTCAATGACCCATGATGAATTTCTATATATATATTTTCCATCTCCCAAGGTATCTTGGAAAGCCTTCAATGGGGATGGTCAAAGTGAGGCTATTCCGAAGCCACTTCCGAGACCCAAAACTACCCCATTTACTCCCCGCCAGAGCTCCAGAGTCAGGTTTAAACGGTGATACTTAGCGCCCAATTCCATACCTTCATGAATCTTTATCCGTTTTATCAAAGCTGTGGTAGACTCCGCAGGGGAAAGGTAGAAATGGGTGAGTTCTGCCGGTACTAAGAGCCACACAACCCATTAGTTTTTAACCGCTGCTCCGTGTGGAAAACGGGGTCGCACCAACGACGTGACCCTTTTCATTCCCAAGTATGTCGAAACCAAACCACAATAAGACAAATGGGATTAAGATAAAGGGTGTGATTTCCGTAATGGCAGGAGAATCCCAAAGCCGCAAAATAAAGGAGACCACATGGGCCTCAGCCGCCGCCAACCTGCACGAACCTCCCCGTATACGAACCAACAGAGAACCCAACCCCGCCCAGTTCACAAGAAGGTGAAGTGTCGAGGCAAGGTCTGGGGCGGAAACAATAGGTGACAACGACCTCAGTCCCGTACGTACGTCACTGCAAACGCTCTTTTCAACCCCTCCGCATCAGTTAAATCCCTTTTTTTCCTAGGGCCAGACAGCTCATACAGCTCATATACATGGGACCTTGTCTCTAAAAGTTGGCTCGTGTTAGTGCAGGGCTACCCTAAGAACGTGTTTCCCCTTACATAGTTTAGATTGTTCAATACACACAAACACGTTATTAGTTAATAGTTGACTAACACCCACGACCTTCGTTGGTTGATTATGTAATCAATCGTGTCATCTAACTATCTAAGTTAGCGAACTATTTTCACGCGACATCATTCGGTCTCAAGTGGGACAACACCAATTTGTCTGTCTGCTCATGGCAGTGAATATTGCAACTTGGGTTCCTAAAAGAGCTAATGGAATAAGGCTATACAAGACAGAATCCATCCACAAGTTCAAATGTACTTTGTAGAATCCACGAAGAGCGGATCAAGCTCGGATGGGTTTGCAATCCAGCACTACAGACACAAATGCAAATTATTGCAGAACTGAATCAACTCCCCCTTTCAAATATGATAATACATTTGGTTCACGACCAGGAAATTCTCTGCCGTTGTTTATCCGGGAGAAAGCACAGTGCGACTTTCTCAAAAATTTCCCATCCTTTAAAAGTGCCTGCCTCTCCTTGCAAAACTTTATGTTTCCGATCTGGAGCTTCTTTCGTGTTTCATTCATCATTCCCCATTGATCCCTAGATGATAACGGGATTCAATTATCCCAAATGGAGGAGGTTACATGTACTTGAAGACAAACGCTATTCCCCGATCCTTGAAAAGAAAAATCACATTACTTAGAGAAAAACACTTGGAACGCTGCCATTCATCTAAACTGACCCCCGCGAATCGAAACCACGAGATTTAGCGAGGTGAGAATCCTTTTATCCAGGAGCCACGATATTCTTTTTCCATCCGAAGACGTACACGATATAAACCTAAGTCGACATATCCTTGAACCAGAAACACCATGTAACAACTGCAATCCTCTCCTCCCTTTTCGAAGGCCTGTTTTCACCCCCGCCCTTCCCTTCTTTCATATCCGAAATAAATACCGACCCAGACAACCCCAACACCTCCAAACCTTCACCTTTGACCCCAATCACGATATTACTTATTTAACGTCAAACAAACCCAAGGACATGCGCTGTACACCCGCCCTCCAACCTCCAACTCGAACTACCATGCGTAGGTATATATATATGTTCCCGAATGCCAGGGTGAATTGGGCAGATGGATATTCCCATCCCGTCCGCATGATGGTAGCGGAAGGCAAAGGTATGGGGGGTAAGTGACGTGAGCGTCGGTGTGTGTTTTGGGCTGGGGTAATGTTGGGGTGGATGAGATACGACGCACAGTGCATGGACGTGGGATGCAACGATGTGATATGTAGAGGGTGTTTAGACTTGGGAACGACAATATATACATCTGTCCATTTCCCCCCCCCCCCCCCGCGTGGTACTTTTATTGATAAATTACTTGCGATGTGAGAATGAGAATAGGAAATTAAACCTGTAGATTGATATACCTGATGATGAATGTTGTATCCTCTAGTTGTTCTCTTCGGTCTAGATTTAGATGGTAGGGTGTGTTTGAACTTCAATTAAATTATTTATTTTGCTGATTATTTCATCTCAGGCTAAAGATTGTACCGGGTCTTGCCCATATATATGTAAATATATTTACTCGTTGATGGCTGGTATGTTGATTTCGTGAACATACTGTACTGAACGATTTGTATTTAATAAATATATATTTCCCTGCGACTATAGCTCCTTCTTAATGCTTGATATTAGATCCATCTATCAGTAACCACCACAATAAAAATCCACAGACAAACCACTACACATACATTCCTCCTTAGAAACAAAAGAATTAGATGCACCGTCCCTCCGAAAGCACTGCTGGGAGCGAGAACTTCAGCAGGAAGACGACGTCACATGACCATATACTTTGTTGAAGTGGGATGATTTGATCTCACGACGACTTCAGGTGTAGAGTGATTGATGGAAATTCCACACGGCATGAAATTGACATTACAATCAATATATATTGTGTATCTTAACATATATGTGCTTTGCTTCAAAAGACATGGAAGTTCGCTATAGAGAGATTTCAAGGGCAATTGTATGGCAATGGACAAGGCCAACGGTAACCGGCTAAAACTCGAGACACTAAGCGTCGAAGGTGAGATGCCATAACAACGAGAAGCGGCAAGACATGAGCACGAATTGCTCAGATTTCCTACAAGATAGAGAAGCATGTTTGTATGTGTAATTCTTGGATTTTGATTTCCTTCGATACCCCACAAGAATAACCACGCCACCAGGTTCCGTTAATGGATAGCGGGAAACAACAAAAAAGGGGGGTAAAAAGGAAAATAAGGAGAAAACCCCATCACTCTTGGATTGGTTTATATGATACAGAATTTGACTCCATGGCCACAACCAGCCCACCCAGGAATAAGAGATAACATGTAGAAATTAGAAACCCAACAAACAGTAAACCCATGACCGCAATTGAAAACAACAAAAACAGCATTTGAACACCACCAGACCGGTATCGTCGAATGAGAAAAACAGAATGAGAAGGAAAGAGGATCGTTAGAGGCGGAGGAATGTAATGGTTGGAGAGAAAAGGTTGGTTGTTTATCCACCGAAACCGTAGAGGGTGCCTTGAAACGGGAGTCAGTCAGATACAAAGTCTAAAACAGCCAGTAACCTAAACAGGATAGAAACTCACGTCCTTGTCTCTTCAAGGCGTAGACAACATCCAGCGACGTGACTGTCTTTCTCTTGGCGTGCTCAGTGTATGTGACAGCATCGCGGATGACACCTTCCAGGAAGGTCTTGAGGACACCACGGGTTTCTTCATAGATCATGGCGGAGATACGCTTGACACCGCCACGGCGGGCAAGACGACGTATGGCGGGCTTGGTGATGCCCTGGATGTTGTCGCGCAGAATCTTGCGGTGACGCTTGGCACCGCCCTTGCCGAGACCCTTGCCTCCTTTGCCGCCTATTGAGGAGTTAAGTTAGTGAATTGTTGTTGTGGTGAATTGGAATTAAAGACGCGTCGAGAGACGGTGATCGACTGGTAGGGAGAGTGAATAACTTACGTCCAGTCATGTTGATAGAGGGGGGTGGTTAGAAGGTTGTTTGGAGTGGTAGTTAATGGTAGAGTAGAACTGTCGACGCGTAAAAGAGTTTGATGTTGTGACTGTGAGAGAAGGGAAGAAGAAGAAGAGAGAAGTCGAGGGGTGCACTATTTGAAGGGTGTCCGGGGCAGAGAAGGCGATAGGTGTGATCACGGCGCTAGGACCAAATCGGGCCAATCATGGCTTTCAGTGACTCAGCCAACCAGGTTTGATCTGGCGGGACTTGTGAAGAAGGGTGATTTCTGATCCTGCCCATGGCAATTCACCCAACGCAAATTCCGAGTAATTAGTCCATGATTCCGAATCGGATCACCGTGAAGAGCGGCTCTGAGGTACTGTGATTAAAATCAAATGGCGTTGTGGATGGGATCAGAGCCATAAGCCAACATCGAAATTGTCCTTGATCCTCATTGATCCTACGCTCTGATTGGCTCCCTAGGGGTTCCTTTGACTGGCTTAGCGCCCTTTTCCCGACTTTCCGCCAAGCCGAGGCAGCTGCCAAGCGAAATCAACTCACCTGCCACTTCGACGCGGCTTCCCTCTGCGAAAATCACCGCTTTGTTGGCTCTGGAAAATCAAACAAATCAAACCCAATCAGAAACGGCGCTAGGTATACAGCAGAATTGCCTGAACTTCCCACCTAACTAAGCAGATTACCTAATTGCCTTCCCACGGCCCTCTAAGATCACACTTTTAGCCTTCTCGCCACTACAAATACCTTCCCCCACCCAGTCTCCCTCCATCTTCCCTACAACCTCTCAGCGACTTCGTCATCTCAGCCCAACGCAACGCAACGCAAACGCCAACATCCATCACCACTTTCCATCAACAACAACCTGTATCAAAACAGCTCTTTTGAAATAACCTCATCCATCCGTCACAATGGCCAGAACTAAGCAAACTGCCCGTAAGTAGTTAATAGCCACCACCCTTATCACTCTGTCGCCTCCCCTTTCATCGCTCGCTGTCTGTCGCATCAGCCATCGCTCCAATCATCCGACATCAACCCACAGCAACACCTAACCATATCTCATCCATCCGTCAAATACACTCTAACATCCTCTTCTATAGGTAAATCCACCGGAGGCAAGGTCCCCCGTAAACAGCTCGCCTCCAAGGCAGCTCGCAAAGCCGCCCCATCCACCGGTGGCGTTAAGAAGCCTCACCGTTATAAGCCTGGTAAGTAACAACGCGTCGTCTTCCAACAATCAACCGTATCACCAAACAACATTCCTAATACAGTACCACAACAGGTACCGTTGCTCTCCGTGAGATCCGTCGCTACCAGAAGTCTACCGAACTCCTCATCCGCAAGCTCCCCTTCCAGCGTCTAGTCCGCGAAATCGCTCAGGATTTCAAGTCCGATCTACGCTTCCAATCTTCCGCCATCGGTGCCTTGCAGGAGTCAGTTGAGGCTTATCTCGTCTCCCTCTTTGAAGATACCAACCTCTGCGCCATCCATGCCAAGCGTGTCACCATCCAATCCAAGGACATCCAGCTCGCTCGTCGTCTACGTGGTGAGCGTTCGTAGATGTCGCTTGTCTTCGTTTTCTGTCTTTGCTAGCCTTGTTTTCACTCTCATGATGAATGGGTTTTCTTTTTTCTTTACCAGTGCTTTTTTAAATCGTGGCTATGGGTGTTCCTAACAAACTTTTGTCTTTTATGACTGGGCTGAGTTGATGGGTTTGCAATTCTCCTTTTTTTTTTTCATATGGGCTTTTTTTCTCTTTATTAGCTTATCGGTTTCTATTTACATACCAGACACACTATCAAAGTGTGGAATCGATCAGCAGCAAAGAGTGGCAAATGGCGGTTTGGGATTCGGTTCAAAGGCGTCCTTAATTTTGCTTTTTGTACATTAATTTGCTACTTGACTCAAGACAACGAAAGCAAAATGTTTGTCTTAAAATGATTAAGTTCCCCTCTTCTGTTGCTCTTCATCATGTAATTCCTTTTTCACGTCTTTGATATAATAATAATAATAGGGGCCGTATCTCCCGGATATTCACGCGTTCAAGTTGTTTTGATCTTGCTTTTTCTAGTGCCAGAGCCAACACAAACAGGTCGCTTCAACCCTGCACAGAGTAGAGTACAGTAGACATCAGTGGACTGGAGTAATATAACTAGGTATTTTGGTGAAGAAGTGATGCAATCCCCGTGGGATAATATACATATCATACTATGATCTGGTTGATGGCTTTTCCTCGTCCTTCATCAAACGATAACGAAATTCCCTGTTTTCTTCTTAAGTATGATTCATCCGCTCTCCAAAGACGAGAATTGTTACTCAATAAACTCAGCCAATTTGGGCAGTTCCATATCGTAGCGCATCTGGCTATGTTTGATTTCCTAGCTATTTCCCATACGCGATTCAGATTCTATCTCCTCTCTTTGCTGATGCTGTGGGGGATGAAAATGGATGGATGATGTGGCTTGCGATTGCGTGAATTATTATGTTGGACGTTTTAACATAACCACTAGTTATCTCAGAATCACCCGTAACCCTCACGAGTTCACATATAAGCTTGAAAAGTGAACCATCAAGCATAATATGTAAGGAAGATTGCTTTAACTATATGAATATGAAAGTATTGTACAGGTACAGTATTGTTTTGCTGATTGGCTTCATTCTGGTTTCTCACAGCGAGCGTAATATAATAATACCTCTGTGAGATATTATCAGGATAGAATTCTTTATCACAGGGTGGCGAATGCAAACCAATCTTGCTTATTTATTTATCTGCCTTGTTTCTACGTGAAATATCTGTTGAAAATTCCATATGGATTCGAGATAGTCTCATGATACTGTAGTTGTTCTCCGGCCATCTACACCTGTTACCTGCGATCAAAGTGAGAGAGAGATAACTATATATATATTTGTTATTTTCTCCCGGGCTGCAACGCATCCAACAGCACATCACACCAATAGAAATGGCATATTCCTCATAATCTCCAGGATAATACCACCAACTACCAAGTTTCTACGTGTCCAGCTACTCAATAATCTCACGGTTAAATCTTAGAGCCACAAGCCTCTTCCTCAAGGTAACTAGTGCATGATATGCCGACAGGATTCAGTGAATCACAGCTTTTACACCGCACATCTGGGCGGTATAAGCAGGATTAATTAAGGGCCATATTGTATATAATTAGTTAATGTGGGATTTCCTGCCTTCGAATTCTCCCAGCGATTTGCATTCAGTGCGGTGGTTGCGATAGGAATCTCACATGTCATATTTTCGGGCCTTTGGGCATAAGTCCCAAGGAATTTTAGGGGTTTATCTAGGGTTTGCGTCGACCTTGGGATTTTGGGTAACCGAAGCGCCGGGGCTGAAACTTTGACACCAAACAGGGGAAGAAACGAAGTTTAACCACGTCATGCATCTAACGACATAAGTTTTTGTTTACCTACAGGCTTTGAACTACACTTTTTCTCACCCCCCCCC